ATGTGACTCATGATCTCAGTGTCATGAGTTAAAGCCTCACGTTGGGCATGGAATCTACTTTTTTAAAAAAGCCATGAGGGGTTCTTGTGAGGCATCCACCGCATTTTAAACAGCCCCCTCCCCACCCAGGATGTTCTGTAAGGGAATCCAGGACATTCTCTGGGTTGGAGGCGGGTTTGTGTGAGCCTCCAAGGCTCACGTGGGTCTTGGGGGCAGGAGACTGCTCTGGGGCTCAGGAAGCCCAGCCCGGAAGACCATCCTGGGCCACTGCTCCATCCTCTGTGGCCAGCAGGTGGTGACAGGCCCAACCAGCCCCATAGATGACCCAGGTCTCACCCTGCATTCAGCCCGGGGCCCCAGTTGTTCTGGCCCAACTTCTGGGGGGCTGGTGGCTTGAGGGGAGGGACCCCCAGCAGAGATGGCCATCTGCCCCAGCAGGGCCCCAAGACCCCCATCCTGCACAGCCCTGGTAGCCCGGCGCCGGGGTCGCACGCACACACAGACCCCACCCCTCTCACATCACACGGGCGGGAACAGGACAGCTGGACGGCCACACGGACGTGGGACATAGTGGGCGCTCTGGCCTGGACCGGGAGGAATGTGAGGCCTGGGGGACGACATGCACCCGGCTGCCAGCTCAGCAGAAACAGCCTCGGGAGCAAAGCCCCAAGGGCCCTCCCACCGCGGCCGCTCCTGCACCCAGGCGCATCCAAGACCAGGGTCCTGGGAGAGCGCGGAGGGCAGGCCGCCAAGGACAGCGCAGGCTGGGGGCGGAGGGAGAGACCGCGGGTGTTGCAGGTGCCTCCGGGTGGCCGGGTGGCCGGGTGGCCGTGCCTCTGCGCATGACGCCCAGGGCGGGGGCTCCGTTTTATTATCTTTAGGCTAGTTGTTCCCTAAGCTCTGGGGAAGGAAGGCGGGATGAGGTGCCCTCCGCTAGTTCCTGAGGTCATGAAGGGGCTCGAGCACTCGCTGTTTGAGTCAAAGAGACCTAGAAAAGTAAAAATGCAGTAAGATGCCCAACACGACGGCCCCGACTGGGCCATTTCCGTACCTCTGTCGAAAATAAGTAAGCGAACCGGGATCCCAGGCCGCCCTCACCTACCAGCCAGTCGGCCCAGACGGAGGAGGAAACGCACCAGGAGTGCGGGCATTGGTGCGGAGCTGGGAGGGCGCGACTGCTGCTGCGCCACCGGACGGGGACAAACGGGCACAGACTCTCTACGGGACCCTCTGTGGGAGGAAGCCGTAGACCACCCAGCCGGGAGGTCACCAGGATCAGGGCGAGTAGGAGTTCGCAACAGCCTGCATCTTGGCTATGACGTGGCCCCGTGAAACCCAGGACGAGGCAGCCACGCCAATATGAACACAGAACCTGCAGAAAGCATCCGGTTTTATGAAAATAATGTGTGACAAGCATGCACTGTGCACACCTGCAGGACAGCGGTGCCCTCGCACCATGAGGTGGGGCCCCGGGCACAACCCCTGCAGTGTTGGGACAGGAGCACGGACGGGGCACTGGTGGACATCTGATGCCTCCGCTCACGGGGGACCCCAGCTCCCCCCGTGGTGCCCGACCCGCCAGGTGCTTCTCCCCAGCCTCTCGCCCATGAGAAGCCACCTGATGTCCATCGGCCCCATTACCGCGTCTGCACAGACGACCCCCCTGCCCACCCCTGGGGTCACGGGGAGCCATGTGCTCACAGAGGCGTCCCCTGGAACGGCGTGTTGGTGCCCTCACCCCTGTAACCCATAGGTGGGACCCATCTAGAAACAGGCATTGCTGAGAGCGCGTGGAGCACCTGCGTGTCCGTGGTGGGCGTCCCCGGAGGGTGACGTCCACGTGCCTTTCATCTGGTTCGCACTCACGGCAATTTTCCCGACAATTCCCTGTGCCCCTTATTTGAGTACAGGAAAGGAAGTGCGGCGGCTCGGGACAGGGAAACAGGCACCGTCCCCAGAACCCAGTGCAAAGCATGAGGATCCAAAGCTGTGTCTCCACCCAGCTGAGCTCATGAGAGCGAAGGAGACGTGCGTGTGGGGCGGCCGGACCCACAGCCTCTCTGGCGCCCCCGCAGGATGCCGGGGCCTTCAGCCAGAGCTCAGACCTTCATCCCCCTGCCCTGGGGGCTCGTCTCCCACCCGAGATGCAGACTGAAGACCACATGGGGGCCCGTCCTCCCCGAGCGGCAGCGTCCACAGCACACGCCCTCCCCCCATGCGGCCCCTGCACCTGGGTCCCAGGTTGCCTGGGACCCCCCCCACTCAGAGCCCCAGGATCATCTTTAACTCCCCCTTTTGCAGACATGCCCCCTGCACCAAGTGACGGTGCACACCCAGAGCCACTGGGCAGGGCCCACTCGGAGAACTCGGGGCCCAGCCCCCCGTCCGCCCCGGCACCTGGCGCACAGGAGCTTGGCTTGGTCACAGGACACGTGGTCAGTGCACAGACTCCCCGGATCTCACGAGCACCACCAGACCCACGACCTTCCCGGGACATACTCCATGTCCACTCGGGACCCTCCCGCCCCCTCCTTGCAGCAGCCTCCCACTCCCACCCCACTCAGGTCCACCCACACTCTCGCCTCAGCCACGCAGGACTGCTCGGGATGGAGCTTCAGGTTTTCAGGGTCAGGCTCTTAGTCACAAAACGGAACCAACATGGAGCCGTGAGAAGGTGGGGGGACCCTGCCCACATGTCCCCGAGCTAGAGAAGCCATGGGCAAAGGCTACGGATGGCCGATCCCAACCAGACGCCTTTCTGGAAAGGGCAGGACCACGGAGCCAGGGAAGGGACCCGTGGGCCAGGACCTGGGGGCGGGAGGGAGGAACTGGGGCACGAGGAGTCCCCGGCCGGAGGCTGCTCCAAGTGAGGCCATCACCCTGGCTCCACCCATTACACCTCCGTCCAGACCCACAGGAGCAAGCCCTGGCACAGACGGTGGTGTGAGTGACTGGGACGTGTCCCTGCGGGTCCGTGGGTCGTAACAGGTGAGCATCGGTGAGGGTGGGGATGGTCAAGGGGGCTGGGGGCAGGGGGAGGACAGGAACTCCCTCACCTGCTGCCTAACCTGACCATGGCCAAGGCTGCTCTAAGACGGTGAATCTATCAATTTAAAACCAGATGAACCATGGGATTCATACACAACGGAATAGTCCTCACTGTCGGGAGCTCCCACCACTTACACCGATGAGGAGGGAACCGGAGGCTGTGATCTGAGTGATGTACGTCCACGGGACAAGGACGATCCTCAGATGGTGTCACTCACACAGGGACTATAAGGAATAGTGGAAGGGACCCCAAGGGAAGAGGGGGACCGGGTGGGGAAAATCAGAGAGGGACACAAACCGTGGGAGACTCCTGGGAAACAAGCTGAGGGTCGCTGGGAGGGACGGGGTCACAGAGGCCCTGAGGAGGGCACGTGGTGGGATGAGCACCGGGGCTTAAGTGCGGCCGATGCATCACTGCATCTGAGCCTAAGTGCGCACCTATGTTGGCTAACTGAATCTAAATTTTAAAAATAAAATAAGTAAAAACAAACGAAGAGACACATAACCACCCCCAGGGCAGGTAGGCAGGCCCCCCCAGCATGCCCTGCGCCCTGGGCCCCCAGGTGCTGTCCAAACAGCCCCCACCTCACCTCCCGCCTCGCAGATTCTGCCCCAGAGACCATCGTCCCGAGCTCAGGTCCCTCCTGCATCCTTCCCCTTGGTCTGACTCCACCCCTGCAGCTACAGCAAGCAAGCCCACTTGTGCCTCCAGCAGAGACGACGGCCACGGGGGCTGCCCCCCCCAGCGACCCTCAGCTCCCCAGCTCCCCAGACGTTCCCTGCAGGCCCCTCACACCGGGGGTGCTCCTCCTCCCTCCCCAGCTCCCCAGACCTTCCCTGCAGGCCCCTCACACCGGGGATGCTCCTCCTGGTGGTACACACATGGGGTGCCATCCCCTCCACCACTCCACAGGATATGCTCCCATTAATGCAGCCGGCAGTGCACTCTCCCCAAGGCCAGGGACATGGTCATCGCAGCTCACAGTCAGCAGCAGCGGCTCAACCTCACCCCTGTCCTCGTGCTGTGCTCTGAGGCTGTGTCACACGCCCACCCCGCACACTCTTGTGCAGTCAGTGTTTGGGACCCTAAGAGCTGGGCTCTGCGTGCATGGACTTTATCCAGGACCCGCTCCCTAGACCAGCTCCAGAGCGCGGCGTCGCAGCCTCAACGCCTCTCATTCCAAGTCTCCCATCATTGCTCCAGGCTGCTGAGTGCTGCCCGCTGCCCGCTGCCCCTGCCCTCGCTGCCCTGCTGCCCTCAGGCCTCCATGTATGCAGCAGAGCAGGGCTGAGAGCAGACGCCCGCCCCACACCCGCACCCACACCCCCACCCGCACCCACCCCACACCTGCCCCACACCTGCCCTGACCCCTGCCCCACACCCATCCCCGGCAGCACTGAGACCCCTCCTGGTTCTGCTCCAGCAGGTGGCCCCGCCCAAGTGGGTGGCCCCGCCCCACCCCGCCCCGCAGGTGGCCCCTGCAGCTGGTCCCGACCCAGCAGGTGGCCCCGCCCCAGCAGGTGGCATCCTGCCAGTCACTCACCACCCGCGCGTATCTAACTTCCCTGCGCCTCCGTGTCTGCATGTGACGAGGGGCGCTGAACGCCTGTGCTGTCGGAGCCGTGAGCGCTGCCCGCGTGCCCTGCACACTCACACACGGACGCTCTGCCGTGCCCGCCTGCTCCTCCAGATTCTCCGCCAGCCCAGCTCTTCCTGGAGGCCCAGCGCGTCCCCAGAAGGAAGCGGCGCCTGCGGGAAGGGGCTGGCGGGGCTCCCCTTTCTGCGCTCACAAACTGCGGGGTGCAGCACATTCTAGAACCCGGGGGCCGGCGGCCACGCGCCCAGAGCATCAGGAGCCGGAGGTGTGCGCGCAGGTGCAGCCCCCCCCCCCTGGCCCAGGGGCGATGCCGGTGCATCTGCCTGTGCTCGGGGCCTTGGGTGGACGCGCCGCATGTGGTTCGTGTGCGACGTCCTGGGAATGGCGTGCGCGGCGGGCACGTGGGCGCTGGTGCGGGGCGCTGCTGCTCCCGGCCCGGGCCGCCTACGGCCTGGTGCACGGCGCGCTCTTCCACCTGCTGGCCTTCCTGGCGCTGGCGGCCCACGCGCGGGCCATGCTCACCGACCCGGGCTCTGCGACGCTGGCCCCCCCGGGCGCCGCGCCCCGAGCTGCAGCTGCCCGCCACCCCCGCGCACGTACCACTGCCTGGTGTGCCCGCGCTGCGTGCGCAGGATGCACCACCACTGCCCCTGGGTGAACAACTGCGTGGGCGAGGACAACCAGAAGAACTTTCCTGCTGTTCACGCTCTACACCGCGCTCGCCCGCTGCACCTGCTGCTGCTGCTGGGCGTCCCTGCCCTGCGCAGCTACTTGCGCCGCGAGTGGGACTCCCACAGCACCCTGACGCCGCACCCCTCGCTCATCTTCCTCCTCCTGGTGTCCCTCAAGGGCTTCCTCTTCGTCTCCATGATGTTCGCCACCCAGATGCATGCCATCTGCACCGACCAAACCAGGATTGAGCAGCTGCAAAGGGAGAGGACGGGACAGGGCCGCAGGTCCAAGTGGATGAACCTGAAGGCCGTCCTGGGCCACGGCCCCTCGCTGGCCTGGATCAGCCCCTTTGCCTCCCCCAAACCTCAGCCGGCACCGGGGCACCACGGAGTGGTCTGAGACTCTGCCCCAGGAGCTCAGCCACCACCTACGGGGTGTCCAGCAGGTGTTCAGGGGCAAGTTTACACACGAGGTCACCTTGGGTCCTGTCCACACACAAGACCAGCTCGACAGCTCTCTTCGGAGCAGAGAGTGGGGTCCCGCAGCCAAGAGTTCTAGAAAGTTCATAAGGCCAGACCCTTCCCCATAGGAAGGTGAAGTATGCTGTCCTTCCGTCGCCCTGCAATGCTTTTGTGTGGGAAACAATTAAATCCACACCGTCTATGAATTCGTGTCGTGAATCACTGGCCGTCTGCCTTAGGTGTGGTACCTGCAAATGGCCCTGGCCTCGCCTGCCGTGCAGCACCGAGCATCCTGGGACCCAGCTCCATCGGGGTGGATTATTTTCTGTTATCTCGGATTTCTGTGTGTATGCTCATCGGTGACATGCACCTGTAGATTTTTATTCCTTCCTTAGCCTAATCTGTTTGTCATTTGCCCCAGATCACACTAGCCGTGTAGAATGGGCACCCTGCGGCTGCTTTCCCATGTTCTGAACGAGCTGACTTTTGCCTGAACGTGTGGTGGATCTCACTAGCCAAACCATCTAGGTTTGGTTTCCTCTTTAACTTTTTGAGATAATCGTAGATTCACATTCACATGTGAGAACTGATAGACGTCCCGTGTACCCCGGGGCAGGTTTCCCCAGCACCGACGTGAGCCATAACTGCAGGACAGCATCCCAGCCAGGAGTCCACATTGATACAGCCCACTAAGCTCATTCTGTGTTCCCAGGTTTCACATGGACTCGCTCAGGGGCGGGGGGGCAGGGTAAGTTTATTGCACATGTAGGTTTGTGTATGCACCACCACCGTCAACACACAGATACATGCAGCTCCCTCCGTCACCCCAGCAGTGACTGGTGTGTTCTCCATCCGATTTCATCACGTCCAGAATGCTTTTGCAGTGGGATCACACGACATGTCAATATATCCTCCAAGATCGCCTTTTCTCATCAACACAGTTCCCTTGAGATCCACCTAAATTGTTGCCTGTGTCAAGAGGTCGTTCCTACTTGTTCCATGATGCCCACAGTTTAGCCATTTGCCGCCCTCCCATCCCGAAGGACATTTGGGTTGTCTCCACTTCTCGGCTACTGTAAATAAAACTGTTATGAAACACGAGTGCAGGTTTCGTCTTTGCTATTTTAGCCGTTCTGATTGGCCTGTGTTGAGATTTCAGTGTGGCTTCCATTTGCATTTTCCAAATGGCCAAGGATGCTGAGCACCTTTTCATGTGCTTATTTGCCCTTGAACCTCCATTTCAGGGAATGTCCAAGTCTCCCACCCACTTTCTGTTTAGATGGTCTGTAATGTTGAGTTTGGGGCATCTCCGTATTTTCTATCTCTCTGCCCTCTGTCACACAGGTGGTTTGCAGACCCTTCCTCCCAGGGCTGTCACTGACTTCCCATCCTCTTCACAGGTTCACTCACAGAACAGAGCTTTCTCACCTTGATAAGACCCCGTTTATCAGGTCAACGTTTACGTTTTATATTTAAACCTCTGATCCACTTTGAGTTTATTTTGTACAGGGTGTGAGGGCAGGTCGTGCTTGGGCGCCCAGTCGTGTGGCGGCGCCCACCTACCGAGTGGCTATGCTTCCTCCATTGAACTGCTTCTGCGTGGTTCTCAGAATCCACCAGGCATATTGATGTGGGTCTGTTTCTGAGCTCAGATCTATGTCTCTTTCCTCAACAGATAATCACTGTCTTGATTACTATGGCCATAAGATGCAGTAGAATGGGTTTTCCCACTTTTTCAAGGTTGTTTTATCAATTCTAGGTACCGAGTCTTCCCACATAAACTTTAGAAATAGCTCGTCTATGTCGACAAAGAAAACCTTGCTGAGATATTGAGAGGCACGGCAATAAACCTGTAGACCGTCTGGAGAATGACTGACATCTCCCTTGTGAGGCTTCCCATCCATGGACATGGTATGTCTCTGCCTTCATTTCAGTCACTTCTTGTCTCTCTCACCGGCGTTTTGTGATGTTTATCGTGTGGATCATGCCTCATTGATTTATGCCTAAGTATTTCATTCTCTCTGGATCACTCATAAGTGGTGCTGCGTGTTTTATCTCAGTCTCTCCATGTTTGTTTCTAGAATATATGTTCATCTTGAATCCTCCCACCTCGCTGAACTCGCTGATTTGTCCTAGTTTGGGTTTTGTTTTATTTTTTGTTTTTGTAGATTTCTTGGGATTCTCTATGGAGACATCATGTCATCTGAAAATAATGACAGCTTTATGCTTTTATTTCCAACACGTCTGTCTTTTATTTCTTTCTCTTGCCCTATCACACTGTCAGAATGTTCAGAGCGTGTTGGATAACGGAGTAGAGGTTTTCTGAAGGGAGAGGCCTTTGCTCACCATTTCGACATTTATTTCTGAGGACCCTGGCCCAGCAGGTGCAGGGGTCTTCCCGGTCCAGGAGCAGCTCCCCCACCGAGGCCAGAGGTGACAGCTGTGGACCCAGGTGGGTGAGTGGACAGACGGGGTGACTTGGTCAGTTTCCAATCAGCTGAGCCTGGTGGCAGACTGCATGTGCAGAGGAAGGGGGTGGCCTGGGGGCAGGAGAGGCTAAGACCCTCGCTGGAGCCATCACAGACCTTAGTGGAGGGGATACCTCCCTCAGTCCACTCATGCTGCGGAAGGAAGAAGGCGCTCGGATTCAGCCAAACCGTGGCTGATTCTGTGACCTCCAGAAGGCGGCGGGCAGACCAGCCCAATGTCACCAAGCCCTCCAGCCTTCCCCCGACACAGCAGGTGCCCACGCCAAAGCAGAACGCGACAGCATCGCTGGATGCCACAGGACAGGATGGCTGGCATCCCCGAGGGAGGGGTTCCTACAACCCCCAGCCCTCTCTCCACCCTGGAGGGGTGTCCCTTCACCTGGGGACCCAGACTCAGGGAAGGGGAGATGACCGCCTCCTGGATTGGAGATGCCAGCCTGTCCAGAGGCAGAGTGGCCCCAGGACACATCCCAGTGGATGCGGGAAGAAAGGGTGACATCATCTCTGACTCCGAGGCTGATTCTCCAGGAGGCTCTTGGCAGAAAGGATTTATGAGCCTGAGACTAGACTCCCTGCAACCACTAGGGAGCCCCTACACCCCAGTGCCCGGGTGGAGGCCCCAGGAGCTCACCAGCGTCCAGACACCCCACCGTCCAGACACCCCACCGTCCACCCCCAATGGGATCAGTCCCAGCAGTGGCCCATCGCCTGCTGCCCCAGCACCACGACCTTCACTTTAACAGCAGCATCGGGGTCCTCCCTGGAGAACCATGGAGGACACAGGACAGCTGGGCCCTCCCCACCCCACCACTACGTCCTCCGCACCCCAGGGCCTTCCTGAGAGCCCAGTCCCCACCTGTGACCTGTCATCCCCCATGTGGGGCACGAGAACTCCCAGCCATTCTGGTTGGGAAAGCAGGCTGGGGGTCCAGGGTGAGCAAAGACAGTAGCACCTGCAGTGAAGAAATAAGCTGAAGAGGAGCCAAGCTTGGTCTGCAGCCCAATTTTCGGCACATGAAACAGGGCCCGTCTCTGGTGGGACCGCCAGCTCACTGGCCGGGACACAGGAAGACCCCTTCTGGGCGCTCACCATCCACCCAGACATCCTGCTCCTCGTATTTGCTCAGGAGAACTGAAAACGCTTCTGCAAAAAACCCGCACCCGAAGCTCACAGCAGCCCCGGCCTGATCGCCCAGACCCAGAGGCCGCCCGACGTCCTTCAGCAGGAACCTGGACAACCTGGGTGCGGTCCCTCCCCACAGCGGGCACCGCTGCCCCGTACAGGGACGAGTCACAGTCGCACGGCAGCAGGCGGACCTCACGGGCGGTTTTCTGAGGCTCCAGGTCGTGCAGCCCCATGTACACGGCGTCTGGAGAAGGCAAAACTGTAGGAACAGAAAATACACCGGTGGTTTGGGATGGGGGTGGGACTGGCTTCAGGGGGACAGAGGATGACTCTCAGGGTGCTGGAGGGTGGGCGGCACGAGAGGACCCCGAGAGCTTTGCTGTATTTGGTACAGACTGAACTGTGTCTCCTCAAACTTCCTGTGTTGAGACCCTGATCCCCAGTGTGACTATATTCAGGAGATGAGGCTTTTGGGGAACTAATTCAGGTTAAATGAGGTCCCAAGGTGGCTGTGATCCTACGGCCCCAGGGTCCCCACAAGGAGGAGGGGGAGCCTGGAGCTCCATCTCCACCCGCGGCACAGGGCGGGCGGCCGTGTGCAGCCCGGGGAAGACCAGAGCTCCCCAGAAACCAGCCCTGCCCACCCTCCAGCCTCCAGAACCTGGGTCATTCACGTCTTTGTGGCCCAAGTGGACCAAGATGGGGGCAGATCAAAAAGCTTGATGAGAAGGAGCCGGTGAGGGTGGGGGTCCCCGGGACGGAATGCAAACTGTGGCAGCTGAAGTCAAGGGCTCTGAGACCGGATGTGACCTCCCCGAAGCAGGAGGACGGGTGCCGAGCTCCGTGCAGCCGGGGCGTGTGGAGCAGATGCTGAGGACCCTGGAACCCATGGGGCAGGGCCAGCGGGAGCACACCTGACCATGACCCCTGGCGGCCCCGGGCCCAGCAGCCATGCCTGGTGTGCAGGAGTCAGCAGCTGAGGAAAGGCGGATCCCAGGCCCAGGCAGGAACGCCCCGCTGTACCTTCCCAGCCCCGCCGTAAACCTGATTCGATTCAAAATAAAACCCCACATACGGGGCGGGCTCCCAGGAACCGGGACTGGAGCGGCCCCCGTGTTGGGAGAACATCACCATCCTGGGCAGAGGTTGGGCCCAGAATATCCCAACTGGATTCTCTCTAACATGCGAGCGACGTGCTTCCCTGAGGGAATCGAAGCAGCATATGGAACTTAAAAACGATAATTAATGAGGTGGCATCTTCGGAGAGCCAGCAGGAGGCTTGAGGGACAGCCACGTAGCCCCAGACTCTGCCTCGAGGGCGCG